CTCAACCCCCATCGAGGGTCTCCCTCGAGTATTTCTCTTCAAACTGGAAGCTGAGAGCGGGGTGAGCACGTAGGAGGTTGCGTACAACCTGACGCGTGTGAGCTCCATCATCAGCAACGACGGCAGCATCCCCGATGCTGTACTTCACCGCGACGCATCGACCTGACCCGTCGTCGATGTGAGGATGATACGGCGGGTTGATCTTCATTCGGTTGGCAGTGCCCATACTTCCCCTATACTGTCTGCATTCCGCAGGCATTTCGAGAGCAAGAGCAGGTTGCCCCGCAGGACTCGGATCTGGCTCATCAGACCTTCTTGCTGACTGGGCTGCTGCAGGCGCTGCTGATGCGCTAGCGCCTGCAGATGATGAGCCAGCGCCTGCAGATCCCCTGGGAGTTCGAGGGGCGCGAATATCGAAGTCCTGGCGTTTCTTCTCACTGATGTCGTAGAACTCGCATTGGTTGGCCTTTGGGGCTGCACGCGATGCCTGCGATGCAGTTTCCAATGCGTTCTGATTAGAACCATGCTTTAATGAAGAAGCATCCCTCGATGACCCCATCCAGCTTTGGCGCCCAGCCTGTCCTGCGCGCCCGGCCAGGTGCAGGACCGCGACGAGCCACGGGCTCCTTTGGAGTAGGAGTGCTGGCGCCCTGAAATACAGCTGCTGCGACGGCCACTGATGACCCACTGGATCGACGTCGTTCAGCAGGTTGCCCCACAGATCGCTGATGCTTGCTACTACCAGGATTGGGATCACCTAAGCTGCTTCTCTTCTTCTGTGTAGGAAGTGGCGCAAGCTGATCAAGTCCGAGTGATGTCGGCTGACTCGAAGAGTCCGAAGATGGAGATATATCAATAGGTTGATCTGTCTTCGGCCTGCGAGGAGGTGCCTTTGGCGTTGCCCCTGCGGGTGTCCATGGCCCACAACGCACAGGCCTTCTGCCTGGGTTGAGGCCTCCCCCATCAGGCTTCCTGAGTGCCGCGTTCCCGATAGTAGCCTTGCCCCTGCAGGTCAGGTCATATTTGTCAGCGCTAAGCATTCTTACAATAGCGGTCTCGCGGTCTTTACCCAACCTACAGTTCCAGCATGGTAGACGACTCTTCTTCCTGGGGAGAGATCCACGTCATCCGCGATCACGTCAATAATCAACGATGGCGCCCGCGCGTGAGTGACGCCCGTGACAATGGAGAAGGCCGTGTCGGAGTAATCCGACTCGTGCCCTGGATAGGCCTCCGCTGTGGGGCCCACTGCTTCGGCCAAGTCTTCAGCTTCATCATCTTCAGGCTGATCGTCATCTTCTTGTTTGGACGAAGCAGGTTCCCCCGCGCGCCACCCGCGATAACCTCCTGGTAGCGAGTAAGAGAAAGGTTCTCCCATGTAGCTATGGCATGGGCCATGGGCTATTTCATGATCTTCAGCTGCCCTGTAATCCAGGCTCGTCACCTGCTCTCTGCGTGGAGTTCTGTTCGGATCGGTGGCGCGACCCCGACCATCACCGTGAGACCAGACCCATGGCTTCTCGCGGAAGGTGGGGCCCCTCGATGGACGCCCCACGGGGCTGCCGGGTCCGCGGTCAGCATGCGCGAAGCAAGTACAAACAACATGTGGCTAAATCTTCCGTTCTTCGGCGATGGCCCTCTTCTTGTCCCGCTCTAAAAAGGCGCCCTGTGATTTGACGGCCCCTGTCCTGTTTGACCGGATGACCTTGCCCTCGCCATTGCGTTCAACATTGCGGAGGGAATGCCAGCGACGGATCTGGCGTTCGGACCGACCTTGGCCCCGGCACCATCGCATCGTATCAGGGGCACGCGTTGACAAGCTCACCCAGGAGTCTCATAGCTGCATCTCGCCTTCTGGAAACTCTTCTCGAGGATATTCCCTCTGAGGCGGGTGCCCCCGCAAGCGCTCCCTCCTCGGTGGGGCGCCAGGTCCGCCACCCCTCCTCGGCGGAGTCTTGGGGGCCCTCGCATCTGGAGGGCGAAGGCGCTGAAGGCCGCTAGAGCGGGCGCCGCTGGACCGCGCGCGCGAGTGCCCGCGCGAGCAATTGCGGACCCGACCACGACGTAGCACACGTCGGTCAGCTTCCCACTCTTCGTCATCATCGTCCGAGCGGCCCACGCGTCTCCAGACTCGACGACTCGCCGATCGCTCCTGGCGGATCGGGGAACGCCCCGCGGCTGCAAACGTTAATTGATGTCCTTCGTCGTGGCCGAGCTCGCGCTGGACGCGCCCTGACAAGTCGCCGGCATCTCGCGGGCTTCCCCGCAAATGATCATTTTCATATACTTCCACGTTTCTCGGATTACCACTTATCTCCGGATAAAGCATCATTTGCATGTTCTCCTCTGCCGCTGGAATTGCGCCCCCCCCCCCCCCCCCCGCCATTCGTTGATCTGCTTCGGCGGATATCTAAAATTTCTCGACAAACTCAATGTCTGCAGGTTGCCCCGCGATGGGCGTGCCCAGCCGGTCTGCCAAGTTGATCTCAATGTGGCCAGTGAAGATCTCCTCGAACAGCTCGCCGGCGTAATTCTCGATTGGGGACATACTGGCACTTAAATTTCTGGCAGCCATGAAATTACTAACTGTATCTGAGCTGTCGGCAGGGTCGGCTAAAAGTGTCTCCCAATCGACATACTGCATGCCCGAACAAGCTTGAGCCACATGTATCGACGGACCTCTGCTTCTCCCATCGCCCTAAGGTCACTCACGGCGAAAATGGTGTGTGCTATGGCAGATATCACATTCCATTGGTTTGCCGTTCGCATCTTTCGGGTTGCCCCGGCGTCCCTTACCCATTCCTGAAGTGCGCCTACGGTTCCGACCTGCACCTAGACACAACTCTTCGTATTGCGGACCAGTAAGGGATGCCAGGAAAGCAAACATACCTCTGCCATGCAGTCGCCGTCGTTTGCCCTTACCCTTGCCTCGACCCGTACCCCTTCCCCGAAGTGCCCGTCGGATAGTACGTCGTACCTTTCAAACTGGCTTCTTCATAAATCGTATCCACCTGGTGCTTCTGACATCGTAAGAATAGCCACTGCGCCTGTTGTTCTTCCGTAAGATACGCGGGCATGTCGGAGCAATCTAAGGCATTCGCCTCGTCGTCCGAAGACGCGTCGGTCTCGGTTCCAGAGTCGAGGTCGGACTCAGCAGGTTGCCCCGTTGAGCCTACTAGGGTAGTGGCTTGCGCAGGGGCCGCCGTTGCCAGCGGCCCCTGATATCAGGCACAGGAATCTCGCGCCCCCGTGGCCGAACCACCATTTTGAATTCAAAGCGTGACGGTTTCCGTTGGTTGCGGATCGTCGCTCCAGACGATGGTAGCAGGTTGCCCTGCATCGGCTTCAGACTGAAAGGTCTCCGTACGGTGACCGTGACTGAAGATACCACCAATACTGCCAGGTGTTCGCTCAGCGATGTGAGCATATGATCTCATGCGTTCAAGCAGAGAGTTAAATTGCTGCTTGTCCCTCGGCGCGTGGTGGTTAAGTGGTTGTAGAAGTTGTTGTGCACGCGACGTCCCCGCTCCTAAGGCTCTGGACAGAATAACCGTTAGATCTTGAAAGTTGGGGATGTTAAAGTCTGCCGTTTCAACCTCATAGCGGGCTATCTCGAAGCGTGCCAGAGTCTGGTCGATTCGTTCTCCCGTATGGACTCGGAAGCCAATGAGAGCTGTACCAGAGTTGAGTTGGCGTTCCTCTTCTAGGTTCTCGAACTTCGTGCTTAAGAGGAACATGATGTACGTGACACCATATGTATGGCGGCCACCTATGTCAAAGCCAAAATTTATAACTGCTGGGGGGAACTCTCATGGCCATGGTCCGTGCGAGGCCTCCCGAACCACGCTGCTGTTCTGCAGCTTGTTGGGTGGCCGTCATACTGCCTGTGGTCACGTTGGTCCAGGCATGCACCTCGCGAACGACTTCGCGGAAAGGTACTTGACCGGCCGGGTCTCAATGGGGGCCGGTTGTTTTTGCGTCGTTTCCGCCACGCATGTGTCCCACCGTACACCCGATAGCAACCCATATGAGACCAAAGATACTCATGCCAATCCGATGGCCCCGTAGGTCGTAGTCGGATGTGGCTGGCTGAGGTCCGTGGTGTTTTGTCGTAAGCCTGCGCGGGGGTGGAGGCGGCACAGTGTCGTATCGCATGATTCCATGCATTGCATCTTCAAAAACGTTTCAAATTGGAGAAGGTGCGTGGAGTTCAGGAGTGTAGTAGCGCAGGGATGTAGGACTCGAGTAAGAAGCGTCTACCAGAGCAGAAGCAGTAGCACTGCAAATGTCTTTGCGGCTGTGCATCGTTATGTACATTCCTCCGCGCAGACCCACTACACCCTGATGTTCCACCATGTCCGTAGTCCACCAGATAGTGCCGTGGATGGTGAGGAGTAAAACAAGAGCTGACTACCATAGGCCAGCTCCGCTACCAAGTTTGAAGGAGGCCTGTAGGCCCGGCCAGAAGCTGCGCCTTAGGCGTAGCACAGCTCCAGCTCTGTTGTAGCGTAGTAACGATAGTCCCAGTAGTAGGACGGGCCATCTCAAGCAAAGGATGTTTTGCTGGACGGCCGCCCACTTGAGCATAAGCGGCCGCGGACACACGCTCGTTACCTCTCGCCTGTATCCCAGCTCACTTTAGAGTTCCTTCGCACATCCCTCGCGACATGATCATCATCATGCCGTCTCATCACCTCCATCTCTCCCTCTGTCTCTCTCCCGTCCCATCACCCCGTGCCATTGCCTTTTCTGCCCAGGCGCCGTCGCACCCCCGTTCCCCACCGCTTTACACCTATCCCTGAATCCTCCCGTCTCGTGCTCCAAGCCACCATCGGGCATCAGCACTCCCGCTTCTGTTACTCCCCATTCCCACCGCTAGTATCCCTCCTCCGTCCTCCCCTTTCCCTCCCTACTCTTCCTTCTCCCCCGTCCTTCCCTCCTCTTCCCTGCTTCCTCCGCATGCCCTCCACAGACCTGCCGCCGCCCCGGCAACACCCCGCCTGCGCCCTCGACTTCGCCCCCGGCATCTTCTGCCACTCCACGAGCTTCGCGCGGAGCTCCTGGGCCGGGGAGGAAGGCGGGGACGGACAGGGAGGGGAGGAGGGGAGGAGGGGCTGGAGCTGAGGGGACAGGGGAGAAGGTCAGGAGGGGAGGAGGGCACGAGGGGAGGAGGGGAGGGGAGGGGAGGGGAGGGGAGGGGAGGGGAGGGGAGGGAAGGGAGGGGAGGGAGGGGAGGAGGGGAGGAGGCGAGGGGAGGCGGGGAGGGAGGCGGGGAACGGAGGCGCACGTGGAGGGGGGAAGGGGTCAGGGAACCGCCGCGGGCTGCGGCCCCCCCTGGCGCGAGGCGCTCCCGCGAGGGGGACGCGCGCTGCAGCGCGGAAGATGGACCCCTTGCTGTGCTGGGGCTGCTGGATTCCCAGGCCCCCTCGCGCTTTTTTTATATTTAAAAAATAAAAATCAAAATAGAAATAAAATAATAATAATACGAATAATAATAATGAAAATAATAATGAAAATAATAATAACAATCATAATAATATTAAGATGATAATAATAATAACCATAATAATTATAATAATAATAATAAGAAGAATAATAATAATAATGAACGACGGGAGGTGTTTCTGCAGTTTCGGCCTCTCGAGGCCCTCTACCTCTGCCTCGGGGCCGTCCAAGAACGACTCGGGATGAAAAACCAGTGCCGGGGAAGGGGTCCAGACCTTTGGGGGTGGACGTTGCGAAGAAATCACGACGTCGGGAGTCTGGGATGTACGAGATTAGCTGAATGATTAGCTTCATGTGCTTTCCACGTTTCCCTGTCCTGTGCGATTTCTTTCCCTTTGGCCGCGAAGGATCGGACAGTGTTCTCCCAACGGCCTCCCTCCCAACGCGCCCGTGATGGCGTACGACTCGCTGTCGCCCCATACGACAGCCTTCTGCCAGGCTCCATTCGAGCAACTTTGCTAGCCCACCCTCATTCTGGCCACAATTCCACCCAGGCGACCTGCGTGGATCCGACGACCCACGGTGCCCACTCTTGGCACATCGGACAGCAGTGCGTCAGAACGTGTCGCTCTGCACGGACGCAATGCGCGATCGAGCATAGTCTCCGCACCATCACGAAAGTCTTCTGGACACACATGCATCGAAGAGGCCGAGACGTTTCAATGATCGCCCCTAGGAGAGCCGCAGAAGCGGCCAGACGTGACGGCGTGTCGCCCATCCGCGCTGCGATGCGCGCGTGCACCTCCACATTGGCAACGCCCCTCTATTGTAACCTGTGCTCCGACCGCCTTGAAGCCATCCGTGCAGAAACCACCCAGAAAACCATGCCAGCAACTACCAGGTGCCCGCCGGCCAGCGCATCGCGCTCCTCGCGGTTATGCTGGATATCGTACTTGTTTGCGGTGGACTGCAAGCCTTTTCTGTCAAAGCGCTGCATATGTGTCCGATGTAGTTGCCTCCGCGGACGTGAGCTTGTTGTCAAAGAGGTGCCGCCCGTTTGGGATGAGCGAGGCGGCACTGCCATCTCCATCTCTTCAAGAGCACGTGCTAATCCGTTCTCTTCTCATCTCGTTTCCAACCCCTTGTATACCCCGGCCGCCATGCCGCTGAAGAGAAGCGGCGAAATGGAACTGCTGCCTCTCATTGGAACTGCCGCAGAAGAGAAGCGGCGAAGTGGGGTAAGATTGTCGGGTTCCTCGATGGGTATTGCAGATTCTGCTTTGTTTTCCGGAACCGAGCTGCTTATCTGCACTGGCGTTGCTATACAATCTTCATCTCTGCAGCGCAGACACTGATGATACAAGTACTCCCACCTCAAGGTGTCAACCGTAGACCATGGTGTACTTGGTCGAACGGTTTTGCAGACGCAGTGACACGATCCGAAATTCTTCAGCGCACTCTTCAACCTTCTTTACAGTCGCACGCACCACGCGCACGGCATCCGACCACGAGCAATGCGATGGGAACCCAGCCCGCCTTGGTTCTGGCCGCGGTTCTGTCAACGCTCGTTCTGCTGAGCAAGTTGGTGGCGAGCACCTTGCAAAGCAACTGAAGGAACTGACTTGCCAGAAATACTTGGGCAAGAACTTGGCGCCCTTCTTATACACTATGATGACCCCGTTGGAAGCAGACTTGCTCATTGCAGCAACATCACGATCATTGCGGGCAAAGTTTTAGGCCATTACCAGTGCTCTGTCTGCAGCATGCTGCCAGCATCCCATCCTGCACTCGTTCCTGTCACCGCTGCATGCCCTTCAGTACGGCAGCTTCATGTCCTGACGACCCTCGCGTTGGCTTCTGACCTCGCGTGGACCGGCAACCTTGCTCGGTCGGCGGCTTTCCGATCGCCAGGTCGTTCCACATCGGTCGACTCTGGGCCGCCGGCGGTGTTCAAGTTTGGTCGCCCATGGCGAGAGCGCCGCCACATGGACATGACGCTGCGCCTGCATGCCTCCACGCCTGTGGCTGCCTCATCAAGGAGGCCAGCCAGAGATCCCCCGGGGGCAGAATACACCGATTCGCCACACTGGGTAAACAGTTCTCTGATATTTTGGCGGGAGACATTGTGCCGTCCACTGACCAGTATGCGCTCGCACAGCTATTTGATGTGTCGCTGGGTTCGCTTCCATGCTACCCAATTCTGACTTGTGATACCATACATGCTCCAGTATTCCTTCCCGCTCTCCTCTGCCCAGGAGTCGGTAAGCACTCTGCCACCAATCCTGACATGGACTTTTTCTAGTCCAGACCCTGTGTTGAACGAATGAGGAGCCTGAGACTGTCCCTGGTGGCCTCGCTGGGGCCCAGCACAGGCTGTCTCCAAACTGATCCTGTCAATCACAGACGCGGCGAGCAGGCCCAAGAACAATGAGGGCCAATACCAAAACGCATTGGCAGGTCTTTAGGTGGCATGCTGGCTGGATCATCCTGGCATCTAGCTTTGGCCTTTGCTCAGCTTCAAGTGCGTGCCGCTGCTTGCCCTAGCTAGCCATCTTCGAGCCTTGCGGTGGTGGTGTCGCGTCAGGCTCCCATTTGCCTGACGCAGTGAGTCCTCATCCGCTGGCTCCCCCTCAATTGGCTCCCGCCCACCATGTTCCCTTACTTATTGCTTTGCAAAACGAAGCGTGCCACGAGACAGAAAAAAAGCAAACATAAAGCAGTGGGGCGGAAAGAAGGACGAAGATGTCGCCAAACCTTCTCAAATCTATCTCTCCCTCTCCCTCTCCCTCCGTCTCTCTCTCTCTCTCTCTCTCTCTCTTCGAGGCCATTTCGAGGCTTTTCGAGCGGGGCGCGCTAACGAAGGTCGCCCAGGATGGACCGAGAAGGCAAGGATGCAAGGGTACCATCGTAAAGGTTGCCCATCCTTGCTATGCGGGTCGACTATAACATCGGGCGAAGATAAACGGGAAACTCTGAGATCCAGCGGCTCTGGAGAAAGTCTCGGGCGCCGCGGCCTGCTCAGAGCGTTCCAGAACGCAATGGACAGGACTGATCCTGGTCCTAGCCCCGTCCGGTCTTGGCCCCCATCAGCCGTGGACCGGGTGGCCGCGCTTGTGAGTCAAGCGAGCTGTTTTTTGCAGTCCTCTCGGCCGAGGCAGCCAGAGAAATCAGAACTTGCAGTTCAACGCCTCTGGATTGCGCCGCATGAAACCTACCTGGGCAAGCCTGCTGTCCAGCGCTAAGATCCCAAGCCCTGTTGGCCATAACATGTCCAACTATGTTGCCGCCTCCCTCTCGCTCTCTCTCTCTCTCTCTCTCCCTCTCTCTCTCTCTCCCCACCACGGGCCAAATCGCCCCCCAGAGCCCTGCTCGGACCGCGCCCCAGACTCCGGGCCACTGCCGACGACCCCAAGCCAGCCGAAGATGGCCGACGACGGCATCCGAACTGCTGGCATGCCCCAAGATGGCCCCGGCGGGCCGTCCCCTGCAGGCCTCACGGGGGCGGCCTCTTCGGACGTCTTACAATCCCCTGGGGGGAGGGCCCACGAAGCCCAAACCATGACTCGACCTTGCTTTTGACCTTGCTGATGGTAATGCTCGCCTTTGCAATCTGAAGGGCGGCGAAGACAGCCCTGGAAGCTTCAAGAGGCCCCAGAGATTGCCCCAAGACGGCACCCAAATCCACAGGAGGTCACCTTGTCCCAACTAGATGTGTGTCAATCCCGAAGCCCGGAACTGGCCTCAACATGCCAACCCTGGCGACAAACTGGCCGCCTCGATGTTTGTTCCTCGAGGCGCTGGATGTGGTGCATGGCACAGCCTGGGCTTAGGTCGGGCATGTCCCACTACAGGCGGATTTTGGACGAAAAATAAAAATTGAAAAAGTACGATCGAATTGTATCAAAAATACCTTTAAAAAAACGCCCACTGGCTAGTTATTACCTATTTTCGAAGATTCCTCCTGTAGAGGGACACGCCCGACTTGAGCCTGGGCCCGAGGGCTTCCAGTCTCCAGCGGCCCACGGGGGGGGGCCTCGAGCACGTCGTCGGGCCCGGCCGGCGCCGCCACCGGAGCCAGGCTGGCGGAGGACGTCGTGGGCGGCTCCTGGCGGGGGAGGGGATGGACTGGGGGAGGGGGAAGGAGGAGGGGGGAGGGAGGGGAACGAGCAAGATAGGGAGGAGGAGAAAGAGGGGGAGGGGGAGGGGAAGCGCGGGAGAAGGGGACAACTTAGGCGCGCTGGCATCATACCATTCCACCCCATCCGTTCCGACTGTTCTGAATCTGTGTTCCAACCGCCCACTGGGGTGTCCTAGAGGACCTAGGTGCCCAAAATGGCAGGCGCAGGATGTCGCAAATCCATTTCTCTGCGATCGGAAAGCATATGAAAGAGGAGGGGCTTCTGGAAGGAGGAGCAGAAGGGGAAGGAGGCAAACGAGCAGAAAGCGGAGGAGAGGAGAGTCATGAAGCAGGAAAGGGAGAGCTGGAGGAGAAGCAGCATGAGCAGGAACTAGCAGGAGCAGGAGCAGGAGCCGCTAATAAGCACCGATATTGAAATGTGGCCCCCAAAGCTGCAGCGGGAGCACCAATGTTGCAGTGCCTAGACCTCTCCTGTCGACAGAAGCATATAACAGATCAACGTTTGAAACCCTATGTAGGAAAAGATCTGCGCAAGAGAAGCGGCAACGAGCTGGCATATCAGCGGTGGGGAGGGGAGAGCAGGACTCAGATTGAACTGTTGTGCGAGGGCAGAAGGCACAGGGAGAGAAAGTGCAGGAGGGGGAGGAGACGAGACGGAAAGAGGTGACTATAAAGAAGTGTAAGGAAGAGAGAAGAAGCGTGAGAGAGAGAGAGACACCCACACACACGCGCACACACACACACACGAACACACACGCACACACACACGAACACACACACACACACATGCACGCACGCACGCACGCACGCACACGCACGCACACACACACACACACATGCACGCACGCACGCACACGCACGCACACACACACACACACACACACACACACACACAAACGCACGGAAAAAAAGAGAGAGAGAGAGAGGGTGAAAGAGAAACAGGCAGGGAGGGAGAAACAAGCAATACGCATATGTATTTCCAGAAAAGAGCAGGAGGTGACGGAAATGCCCGATTTTACATGTGCCAATCCCGGGGGGCCCTGGCGGAGGACCCCAGCCACGCCCGGGAACTGTGTGACCCAGGGCGGTGGGTGGAGTGCCCCAAAACCAGCCGAACGCCGGAGCCCACATGGCCACAGACATCGGGCAGGGGCGAGGAAAAACCAACGTGTTTGGCACACGGGGGCGTATCCTCGATGAGCCGTAATAGCGGTGCAACGGCGGTACAAGAGGGGCAGGAGATGACGGAGATGCCTCTGTTACGGGTGGCGGCCCCCGGGGGCACTGACGCAGGGCCCCATGCCACTCCCAAGAAGCTGATGCCCCCCCGTTTATGCGACGAGATTGGGACACCGGGAGGAAGAGGAGACCCGGAGATGAGGAGGCGGATCCCGGCCCCCCCCCCCCACGGACGCTGCGAGCGTCGGGGGGCCTACCCCCTTCGCCATGGACCCTTCCATCGGCTTGGGTGCCCCCCCGAAGCCGAACCCCGCGTGGAGGGCCGCCCGCCCCTGGCGGGCAGGCAGGGCAAAGGGGGGCTGCCTGGGCCGAGACAGGGGGGGCCAACCTCACCCAGAGGGGGGCTGTCTGTGCGCAGCCTGGAGCCTTCCTGCGGACCCTGCCCCCGGGAAGCCTCGCCCCCCTGCGTGCACTGCGTCCTCGATGCCGCCCTTCCGGGCGCAGTTGTGACCTCATGGGTCTCTTTTGCGCGCGCGGGGGCCGGGCTGCTCCCTGAAGTACAGCCCCATCGTGCAGCCCAGCGACAATTGAGACAATCACGGGCGACGAGCAGATCTGGAGAGCGGAAGAACGCCTTCATGATAAGGCCGCATATGAGCGAAGCCCTGTAGTAAACGCACATCAGGGCGGAAACAAACACAACAGGACCTGATCAGTGAACGCCCATGGCTGTTCAGCAAACGCCAGCGATGTGGGTCGGGGTGATCTTCCGCCTCTGAATATCCATACCCAGGCCCTCGAGGATAGGACACCGAGATGCGATCCCATCGAAACCCGATCTGAAGGGTACGTTCCACACATGGCATCCAAACAAAGTCTCCCTGTATCCACTGAGACACAGCCGAGGAGTCCGGACGGAAAGCTGCGGATACAGGTATCACTCGCCCACGAGGTCAGGTTATATCAAGAAAACTCTGCAAACTTTCAGATGGTACCTTGAATTAACGCCGAACTAACCTTCCGCGCACGTCCCCGTGCGAACGAAGTGGGTGCTGGAGAGTGGACCAGTATTCGGGAAGGTGCCGGGGATACTCCAGAGGGACGAAAATATGTCGACTCGGCCTTCACTCGGAAGGAAGGACGAGGAGCGTTTGGAGGCAGCGAGGGGAACGACAAGCAGTCGGAGGCAGAATAGGATGATGATGTCTCGGCTCGGCCTGTACCCGGGAGGAAGGACGGGAGCACTTGAAGGCAGCGGGTGGGGAGGACAGGAGAAGCTGGAGGCAGACGCGGATGAAGAGCAGTGGTAGGCAAAGGAAGACGATGAAGACGATGGTATCCTGATCTGGCCTTCCTCGCACGGGTAGAAGGGCAAGGACGAGCGGGAGGTAGAGGGGGGGGAGCACGATGAGTAGACATGAAGAGAAGGCAAGGGCCTGAGGGAAGAAGCAAGAGGAGGACGACGAGGAATGCAGCAGCAGCACCACTACATAGCGACCTCCTCTTCGACCTCCTCTCATACTGCTCCCTCCCCGACGCCTCCGCCTCATCGCCGGCCTCCTCATCCTCCTCCTCCTCCTCCTCCTCCTCCTCCTCCTCCTCCTCCTCCTCCTCCTACTCCTACTCCTACTCCTCCTACTCCTACTCCTACTCCTCCTCCCCCTCCTCCTCCTCCTTCTCCTCCTCCTCCTCCTCCTCCTCCTCCTCCTCCTCCTCCTCCTCTTCCTCCTCGACGTCC